GAAGCATAATTATTTGGGCTTATTACCAGACAAATTTAACATCATCAAACCTCTTGCTTAATGTTAATACCATTGTCTGCTGTAGTGCAGCTGTATGGCTAAGCCAGACTACCAGAATGAATACATGGCATGTATTCTAATTGAAACTTTTGTTTCCCAGGTGAAGGATCCTGATGTCACGGGAAAGATGGTTCATGATACATGGAATGAAATGAGTGGTGGCATCAAAGTAAGAATTAAGAAGTTTGAAAATTTGTTCTGCATATGTAGAGATTGTTCACACTATTATGTAGCATTTTCACGTAGTTCTAGTTATGAAATGGTTATTCAGTTACACCACAGCTGAGCCACATCGAGCATAGTTTGTTAATTACAGTTTTTGTACTGCTTTGTCCAACCTTGTGTATTGTGATGGTAGTAGAACAGGAATGTACTGTCTTATGTGAGGTGCCTCATGTAAATCCCACTTGGAGGACGGCATATGCTCCCATCATTCCTTTTGATCTTGCCATGTCCCGCCCCCACCCCACCACCACCACCAAAGAAGAAGAAAGAACATACTTGGTTCCTGCATGTGACTACCCTATTCCCTTGCTTTATGACGGTTTTATCCTTAATTCATGACCTGCTTTAGACTAAATAGGGCAAAACAATTTGGTTCTGCACGCTCTCTAAATCTGACTTGGCCTATAACTCCCTTTTACTTTCTCCTAGGTTTTTCGCCACTTCCTTACTGCTTGGCTTAATGTCTTCACAGAAAGAGCTAGATCATTTTGAATGACTGATTATTGCTTGCCTTATATTTGTTTGTCCTATTTCTAAAGAATGTCAATTATGCAGATAGAAAGGCTTGCCAGAACTGATTCCGATTTTGCTCCATTTCTACATCATGCTGGAATTCCCTCTGTAGACTTGTACTATGGACAAGGTATGTCAAAACAGAATAGGTTCTTTCCTTAAGAGAATAATGTATTCTAATGTCTATTTATTCTGCTGGAGCTTCACTTGAGGATCATTACAACTTAACCATTTTGAAGTCTTTTGTCTGAGTTGTACGTGCAATTTTGAGGCTATGTGCGCCTATAGTTATTTCTTAATATTTTTCATCGAATCACCTCGAAGTTAACACCTACAATTTCTCCTACTCTATTTTGTTCTATAATGCATCACAAATTCTTCTAACATGGTTTGTGATCATCATTACTAACCAATGCAGTGCTAATGCAGAATTTCCTGGTTACCATACTGCTCTTGACACTTATAATTGGATGGAAAAGCATGGCGATCCATTGTTTCTTCGTCATTTGGCTAGTAAGTAAAAACATAGTTTGCGAAGTAACTTGTTTTGAAAAGCAGAAGGTTGCAGCGCTTGTGATATTGATCAAAATTATGATTAACTGAATGCACTGATACGAAAGGGCCAACAAGAAGAATGAATTGTTGCCTTTAAAGCTAGCTACTACATACTCAACAATTTTCGAAATTTTGGTGCGTCAATATAATATATTTCTAGCATTTCTTGTGGTAATCCTAGGAGTGCTTATGTAGTTTTCCTGCTTCATCAGTCACAGAAATTTGGGGACTATTAGCTCTTCGATTGGCCAATGATCCCGTGTTACCTTTTGATTATCAAGCTTACAGTTCACAGTTACAGGTACGTTGACTTTCATATGCACACTTGATTTCTACATTGCAAAGGTGTATGGATTGGAGAATACCATCTAACACGTGTGATGTGAGTGCCATTGGTTGAATCTGTAACTTCACAGTGATTGTTTTTTTTAGCATGGAGATATCCATTCAGTAAATCTCTACAGGAACTCACACATATTGCATAACCACCACCAATTTGCTTTCAGTCATTATTATAGTGTATCTTACAATATATATTCAATATATGATTGAAACTTATAATGTCACAGGAGCATATAAAAGCATTTTCTGCCCTGACGAGTAATAGCCAAGCAGTAAATTTGATGAATGGATTCATCAATGATCTTTCTGCAGCAGCTATGGAAGTTTTGAAGGAGATGAAGGTATCGATTTATACTGTGCTTCTGTTTTCATGTATTTGGGTAGTGTCGTTCAATATTTTCACAATCTGATCATCAATGGAATAGTATCTTTTCCAATTTGGAACTGGTGTTTGAAACTGGCTGATGATGTGCTCCTTTGTTGGTTCGCATTCATCAAAATCCAGAAGCTACAACAGCTGGATTTATACGATGAGCACGCTAGGATGAGGAGGTGATTGTTGAACGATCGCCTCCTACTTGCCGAAAGAAGCTTCCTGCAACCTGAAGGGCTCCAAGGAAGAGGGTGGTTTAAGCATCTGATGAGGAACGCATTTCAGCGCACTTGTACATTATTTTTCTTTCGAAACTAAAACTTGCGTTTCTTTCCCTAGTTGTACTCGCCTCCGGAGGATTACCGAAGCAAGTTTTCGTTCTTCCCTGGGATCGCGGATGCCATCTCACGGTCGGCCAATCTGAGTGACAAGGAACGGGAGGGAGCAATGCAGCATGAAGTGTGGAAAGTCTGCCGGGCAATTCAAAGGGCCGCTAGCATTCTTAGAGGTGAATTCAGTGAGCAAAAACCGACGAATTTTAGTTCTTTGGTGATTCCATGAGATATGTCTGTGTAAATAAATGATAAATAATAGGTGTTTAGTATCTGCACGAAATGGAAGTGTGATGAGAATGTGCTGCTTTTGGGCGTACCCAGTAACGAGATCCTCTAACATACTCTGCTTTACGTCAGTGGGACATGAACGTTTGTGTGTCGTAGTCGGACGTCCCACGGTAAGAAGCAACCAACGCCCAAACAGAGAGCACCCGTCGGCCCTGGTGCAGCGACGCGGCGCAGACCAATGGAAGCGAGGGGGGAACAGCGGGAAGACTAGGAAAAGGGCGAGAAAATAGAACCGCCGTGTAGCTGACGGAAACAGGCGCGTTAGGCGGCGAAGGAATATATAGGAATGTATCGCCGGAGCGGACGAGAGCACACTAGCTGCTCAGCTCGTTGGCCTCATCCGCATGAATGGCTCGCTACGGCTGTGTTTGGTCGTTGCATCACTCCATGTCTTCTAATCTTTGTCATTAGTAAATTATTTAAGGATTATTAATATGTTATATTATTACTTAATAATTATGATGGTATGATTAGTTTTGATAAGTGCTAATATGTTGATTAGTGCATGTTTCATGTGATAATTAGGATATTAGTGGCGCTAATTAACATATTTTATTTTAAATTAGTGATTATCATGACAAAAATAGTATTAGTGTAAATTATTAGTGTCTAATTAGTTATTATTATTTTTAAATAATAGATATAATTAGTCAACTATTCTCATCTCATCCACTTTCATCCGTCTAACCAAATAGAAAAATGGTCCATCCCATCTATCCAACCAAGCGTGCATCATTGATATACTTATCATAATATCCATGGATCGTCATATCCCGTCCAACTTCGTCCTCGAACCAAACGTACCTACATGATTGATCTAACTTCCATCAGGTTGGGGAACGCTCTCATTTTTCTTTTCTTGCACGGTTCAACAGGTTGGGGAAGCAGCAAGTAATGATGATGCGCATGCACAAGTAGCAGAAGATATGACTGTACTTCAAAGACAGGGAGAAAGAATCTGGAGAATATAAGACCCTGGGTGGATTCAGTCAACTTTTGATGGTAATGTTGTTTATATATTATTAAGTATAAGCAACTATTAGTGGAAATTTTACAAAAACAAATATTAGGAATTATTTTGCTTTGCAGAGACCAATTACAGATGACATTCTTGATGCTGAACTATTTTAGAGGTTGATGTTCTGGTGAGGTACTTTTGTTTTTGGACAATCCTAGACACGGCGAATGACTGTATGCAATTCTGTGTTCAAGGTTCAGCATGGAGAATTCTGATTTTGTTTAACCTCAGACATGGAGAGATGAAAATCACGCAGAATACTCTAGCTCTATTTAAGTTTCTTTTGCTATTTTACATATGAGCATTCTGGTAGCATGCCACTTATCCACATATGCTGGCAATATGCAGTAGCTCAAGTGCAAAAGGATAGCACTTCTGAATTTTCACCTGAAATTGATTTTGTTTTACCACATTCAAGTCTCAATCTCTTTTGCCATATTAAATTAACATCAGTAAATCGAGCCAATTACAATCTTGACATTTTCGAATTCACACAACAAATTAACAATACATTGTCTACATCCACTATCTCAATTCAGTAACAACCTTATCACCAAAAAAAAAAATCAGTAACGACCTTCAGCTACTATGAAACAAACATTCAGATTCAGTAACAACCTTCAGTTACTCTGAAACAAACATTCAGTCCACAAGACCTTGTGCCGTGGTGCGGACTTGCCAGAAACATTGGACGGCAGCTTTGTCAGAACAAAGTGAAGACGCTGGTGTTCACGCAAGTGCTGTTGAAAGCCGCCGGCGGTGGTGCAGACGTCGACTCCCATGTCAGCAGCAGCATGGTTCCTGCGAGGGGGAAGAACGCGAGGAAGGAGGGGATCAGGGAAGCGACGACGTGCGAATTGCGATGGTGGAGGAGGCTAGCTCGGGAACCTGCTCCACCCCTTCTGCGCCCCATGCCGACGGAACTCGTTCTACCTGCGAGCAGCTTTCGCCACCGAACCGCAGCCGCCGCCCGCCGGGGACCTGCGAGGAAACAACAAGGCAGCGTTGGGGCAGCAGCAATTCTCCATTTCTCCTTTTTTGCTTTCCATGCATGGTAGATGGAGAGCCGTTGTCACTTCCTATATTTCTTCTCTTTCCCGGCATGGAATTTAGCCGTTGAAGACTTCCATATACGCTCACCCCATGCTATACATAAAACGCAACATCTTTCACAGCTCCCGGTGTATCTTTGCAAGATCCTCAAAATCTCCCAGCAAATCTTCTCTCCCTCTCTCTGCAAAATCTTGCAAAAATATTCTCTCCCTCTCTCCGCAAAATCTTGCGCTAGATCATGTCGATGAGCGCAAACACGGAAGCCGCCGCCAGCAGCAGCCCGGGCAAACGGTGCGCCGCGTGCAAGAACCAGCGCAGGAAGTGCGCCCAGGACTGCGTCCTCGCTCCTTACTTCCCGGCAACGGATCCCCAGAGATACGCCTGCGTGCAGAGGGTCTTCGGCGCCAGCAATGTCGCAAGAATGCTCCAGGTAGATAAATGGATCATCATGCACCATCACTTCATCTTACGTACTTACACCGTAATGCATGCCATGCGTAGACTTTTTTTTCCTTTTTTTAATTCCTTGCCACTGGCTAACCAGGATACTTTAGCGTCCAGCGTTAGCACGTAGTAAGTACATATTTAAGCATAATAACACAATTGTTCTTCTTTTTGCTGAACACATTGTGAACCATCTTCCACTGGCATCGAGCATGGTGACGTCGTAAAGATATAAAGCTAGAGTACATGGAAGTAAATTGCTGTGCTATTTCTTTTCTGTCGTACGTGTCACGTGTGTAGAACCTCCCTGTCCACGAACGAGCCAGAGCAGCGGACACGATGGTGATGGAGGCGCGCCGGCGGGTGCAAGACCCGGTGTACGGCAGCGCCGGGATCGTGGGCCGCCTCCAGGGAGAGATCGGAGCGGCGCAGTGCGAGCTGGCCAGGACGCAGGCCCAGATCGCTGTGCACGCCGCGGCAGCCGCAGCTCGCGCACACCAGGCGCCGGTGGTGGACGCGCAGGCGGCACAGCACGCGCCGGCGGCCCCTCTGGAGCAGCAAGACGACGACGATGATGCGCGGGAGCTGTTCCAAGGATTGGATGCGCTGCTCGTCGATGATTATCGCTGGGATGCTTTAACTCGTTTGCTTTGATGGTGACACGAGTCCGTCTTTTGGCTAATTTATCCACTGAAATAATCCGATAACCACTTGATTTTACCCTCATACACGAAATAGCAAGAAAGAAGTTATTATTACTGGTGTCTTGTCTTGGCGGCACTGTGTGCCGTTGTGTATTGGATGCACTTTAATTATCTCTACATGATTTACCAGTGGGTGAATTACTATCTTCGGTAATGGAATGGCTTTTAGCACGTCAAAGGAAATTTAAGTCCCAATTTTTTTCTTTATAAAATGCCTTCTCATTTGTCCTATGTTTAAGCACACGAGAATACCTATAAGTGAATTCACCCGTTCTAGTAGCAAGAGTCTTATCAAATGGGACCTTAGCTATATTGGCAGGGCTAGCGCCCAGACGTCCGGCCCTAGGCCTGTGTCTGAACGTAGCTCTGACGTCTGCAACCGCTTCACATCGGACGCCCACCGTGTTCGCATCAGATCCCACGCCAGCGAATCGTGTCCGGCCGCCCGCGATTGATCCCGTGCTAGTGATCGTGTCCGACCATCCGTGACTCGATCCCCAAGAGTAACAAACACAAACTCTCACTTGACCAAGACAAGCCTAGTGAGAAAGGTGGATGCACACTTGCTACTCTCTATACACTAATGAGGTCCTTAATCTTGGATTAACAAATCTCAATCACCCCACTAGGCTCTCGCTCTCCCTTGCACTCCAAAGGTATTTCTTAGCTGAACAAATGAATAAGAGACCTAAGTTGGACGAGTAGGGAAAGTATTTATACTCCTCACTTCAAAACATACCTGTTGGGGGTCCAACTCAGCACATTTCGGGGTGACTGGACGCTCAGGTCAAAGTGACCGGACGCGTCTGGTCAGTTGCCAACGGCTACATGACGCTAGCACAGTCATCAGAGACCGGACTCTGACCAACGTCCAATCACCACTCATCTGATGCGTCCGGTCAGCAATTTCCTTCTCTGGATACTTACTGTTGTTGATCGGACACGGCCTCTAGTGTGTCAGGTCATAGTGTCCGGTCCTTTGTGAGTGTTGCTTGCTCTACAGTTGCGCACACCTGCGCGTCTAATCCTGACTAGGAACCAGCGTCCGGTCGATGAGCAAGCCCTAGCTACGCGAGCTAACGCTGACCGAACGCGACACCTATGCGTCCGGTACAGCGTCCGGTCATCATCCAAGTCTTCATTCACCTCAAATTCTACCAAGTTTGTGAACGTCATCGACTTCAACTGATCAATGGGCTATCCTTGAGCTACCTAGTGCTAAGTTTGATAAGTGTGCACCACACCTAAACCATTAGACTCACCTAGGTCAAGCTATTAGTTCATACCCCCTTAATAGTATGGCTAAGGAAAAAACAAAGTCCTAAACTAATCTAGATGTCTCTCTGTAACACCCCAAATTTTTGCACTTTTAGAAATAGAGTAAAAATGATTTATTTTGTATTTTTGTGCTCATGAAATATAGGCAAACTAATATTTTTCTCTAAATTAAAATGTATCATAGGCTTAGCAACATGGTTGTGCATACATGCTGGTGCATATATTTTTATTGTGATGTAAACGTGTTGTGTGACTTCATGTTGAGAGTGAGCAAAGTTTTCAAAACGTGTTTGGTAAATCGACCTTCCTTCTCTGGTATGTCTGCGTTTTTTTTCTGTCATCGAAATTGTCTCGGCTCGCTAATCTATCTCCTATCAATTTTATTTTTATGCTCCTTGTATTTCTTTCCTTAACGTGATGGTATAATATAATATAAAAAAATGATCTTTTAAGGAAGCACTCATCCTTTTGTCTTTCTTAGCTGGATGATGGTTTTTCTTGTAGCCGACTAGTTCTCTTTCCTTGGATCATCCGATGACTAAGTTGTAAGTCATGTACATCAAGGACTCTCACGACGTTTCTCATATGCCAATCTTTATTCTATATAAATAGCAGGCCTGTGTCATCGTTTCTTTTGTAAAATCCCAAACCTAAGCCAATCAATCCTGATCTAGCTGCCGCCCATCATCTTCATCTGCCGCCGCCGCTTCGTCGTCGCCCCGGGCTATCTACCGAGCTTCGCGTCGTGCCTCACCGAGTCGCTGCTGGAGCTGGACGCTTCCTTGTCGTCGAGTTCTTCGTTTTGCTTTTCATCTGGAGAACCCATGCAAGAAGTCGCCGTCATCCCTCCGAGCACCACGCCATCGTTGTTCGTTCCAGATCGTCTAAATTCCTTGTGGTGAGTTCGCCGAAATGCCTGTGCCTGCTCCGTCCCTGTGTTTTTTTTAACGCAGCAATCCGAGGCTTGCATCATCGAGGCTCCATCACCGGCCAAGGCGCATGGCAGCACCGTGCATGCTCGGCATGTTCGTAGCTGATCCGATTAGCTTGATGACATCAATCGATGACATCATGTATGTTTTGTGGCCGTATTTCATTACGAGAATAAATCTAGAAATACTATAGAAATACACATAAATATAAACACTCATCGTGAGACGTCCATTCTAGTAGCTTAGCTTTGAGCCGACGTGGTCTACGTGTCGATGTTTATGTGCCACATGCTTTTGTAATATATTTATTTAAATATTAAATTGGTTAATGATTATGCAAACATGTTTCTAAATAAAAGCAATTTAGGGCGAGGTCGATCATTTTATATTTAACTGTTAACTTGATTAAAGTCAAATTAAATGTGTTTCAGTATATTATGCCTATGCTAAACATGGACATATCATATTCGTTTGGATATTTTCACGTGCACTCGTCTTTCGCTAAGTTAAAGTTTAATAATTTGATCGCGTGCTTATAATTAAAATATAATTAATTATACTTTAGTTTTCTTTATTCAAATATAAATTTGACTTATCGAATATGTACTTTCACTCCCTGAAAATTCTTCTAAAGTTAGCATGTTCACGCCGTAGCTTTTCGGCTTGTTCTTCCATATATAGTTAAATACCAAATTGATTAAATGTTATTAGTTATATAATTTAAAAACAATATAGGTTATTATATGACTGTTTCTTTTACAAATAAATATTGATTAGATTAATGACAACTTCAATATATTTTACAATCGTAAATTTCTTAAAGCTAAACATGGTCAGATAAAACTAATTTAGATGTCCTCACGTATTTGTTTTACAAAGATAAAGTTTAACTTGCTCAATAGATTATGTGATAAAATATATAAGGTAAGATATAATTAGATAACTCGTCTTTGAGAATTATAAGACATAATTGGACTAATCTGGATTATTAGGTTCCTCATGGTTTTTGTAATTAAAATAAATCAAGCATGTAGAGGTTTTTCTTTTCTTTGATACTAAAATAAAACTCTGGTAGTCGTTTCTTTTGACGATAGTTGTGTAACCGGTGTTTCTTGTGATCTAGTGACCCTAGCATTTAGTTATCTTTTAGTACGGTGTTTTCTCTTGTGTGATGTATTGTTCTTAGTTGTCTGTATTTGTTTGCTTGTATGTTTGTCTATGCGTGGTGCTTGCTTCGAGTAGAACAAGAGCGCTGGAGATCAGAATCTGAAGTGCCGAAGCTGTAGAATGGAAGATGAAGTTGATGCTTCTCTAAGCAAGTTGCTATGGGAGTAAAGCAAGTTTAAGGCAAGTATAGCACGGGATCATCCTTGATGTCATATTCACTTTAACCACTAAATTTCATATGCATGTGTCCACCTTGATACCCTTTATAGGATTCCCTAGAAATTGTTTACTGAATACCTTGAAACCTCGGGATATATGCATTTGGGTATTACTTTTGCTAGCGCTTAACATTGACCATGATCTTGATACTTGATTAATAATTGAGCTATAAACTATAAAAGATGACTTGTTAGCAACAATAGGAGGGTTAAATTCCCTCTCCACAAGGCCTCATTTGTAAGTGATCGTCCGGGACTTACAGTACAGCTGTGAGGGCTATATGGCTCTGGCTTTAGCTCAGTATGAGGTCTTTTTCTAGCCGGCTTAGAGGATACTGCGAGTTGGATATAGGACATCCTCTGTCCTGTTGAGCCTAGCTATGGAAGCGGCCTTTTATTTTCTTTGGAAGGGGGGTTCCTATATCCGATGACCCTGCGGCCCTTCCCGGTTAGACGGAACCTTTGAAAGGCTTCATAGTGAACCCTGCCGGCCTTCCTTGGTAGAGGGTTAAGAGGCTCGCGACCTCGGGCGAAAGGGAAATTCACGACTCACAGTGAAAGTGTACACCTCTGCGCAGAGTTTAATAAACTGATATATCAGCCGTGCTCACGGTCATGAGTGGCCAAGGGATTCTTACGCCAAAGATGAGCACTTGTTTAATTATGCTTAACTGAGTTGTTTTGAGCTATTTATTATTCATGTTCATTGATCATGTGTTAAGGGAATATTGTGCTACCTTGTTACTAATTAATACTAAATATGACTATCTACTTAAAAGCTAAATGTAGTTTAACCAGTGTCAGCCTTTTAAGCCTCATAAACCCCATGTTATATATGCTGAGTTCGATATGGACTCACCCTTGCAATTTCCCCCACACCTCAAGCTGGATGACAGTCTGTCAGAGACTTGAGACGTTAGGCTTGTGATCAACCAGTCAGTTGGATCCAGTGGAGTGAAGTCTGCACCCGGAGATCAGAGTTGTCTATCCGTTAATTGCTTTCTAAGGTTATCTCTTTTGTTAAGTTTGCTATATATTAAGCATTGTGAATTGATACTGCCCCTTCATTTGTAGCTATATGTGAGGTTTGATTACCAGGGCTCACATATGGTATGCATTCGGCTTTGTCCTTAAAACCGGGTGTTACACTCTCCAACGTTAAACGACACTTCGAACTAGTCCGTCCTTAATCTTGTCGTCCATCCTTTGAAAACCGAAACGATTTCCATCGATAGGGGCATGAAAACCATAATTGTCCAATCAATCACCATTACCATGACCTAACTCAAGTTGCCTCTACAAAACACATATTAGTCACAGTAATCTTGTGTCGTCATTAATCACCGAAACTAAAC